TCTCTCTCTCTCTCTCTCTCTCTCTCTCTCTCTCTCTCTCTCTTTCTCTCTTTCTTTCTTTCTTTCTTTTTTCTTTCTTTGGCTTTCTTTATATTTCTAAGACTTGTGTTTTATTCATAGATTTCTATTTGTATTTTTTGTCGGTCTGTCGACAGTCAAAGAAATTCTTGGCTTTTAAGACCGGAATTGAGTGACTAATAAAATCTAAATACAATTTTCAATACAATATATAGCTTTTGGGCAATTCTGTAGCCAAAGAGTGTCTGACATTTAAACATAAATGTATTTATTAAGGCTATTATAACGAGAGTGTTATTAGCCGTTAATGAGACTCTGTAAAATTTATTGGACATTATTTTGAAACTATTGTCAAATTAAAGTACAAAACTGTTCGCAAACCCCATAATTTCTCTCTCTCCACTTCTTTGTATGTCTCTCTTTCTTCGATTTAAGTCTTTATTATTTTTTATATTTCTTTAAACTTTTTTATATTTTCACACAAAATATAAAAACCAAATAAATTGTGAAGATTTGTGTCAAATGATTGTCCGTTTCAATCAATACCGTATTTTTAAGACACAATTTTATGCTACCGTTGAAGACGAGACCACAGAAATGTCAGCGGCTCTTGTCGTCAATCAATTCTCTCTCTCTCTCTCTCTCTCTCTCTCTCTCTTTGGGAGACGAAAAACCATTCAATAATATCTCATGTTTTGTCGGACAGAGAAATCCCTTTGAAATTCCTTCAGCAAAGAAAATATTTTCCTTTTTCTAAACACTTTTTTTGTATTATATTTCCCAAGCATTCCATCAGATCTATTGACAACCAGTCGGTGGTAAGGGTTAGCACACATTCACTAACCAATACTGTACTGCATATGAAACTCATTGCGCCCTTCGATGGATTGAAAATACAATTCATATTTCGGACACAAAACAGAGAAAATTTCATTTATTTTCAAACAATAATTTATCAAAAATTATAATTGTATATCAATTCATGCATTAAATCGAGTTTTTTTAGACAATTCTCAAAGTATTGTAAATAATTTATTTCAAAATAAACTTGATTTTTAAGTATATAATAGTTTAGACATTATTATCATTAATCTTATTATTATGAATATATCATAAAAATCATATTATAAATGAGTTAATGAATCGCATAAAACAAATCAATTAAAAGCCAATCAATTGAATTGATTGACGAATAAAAGCCTCACAACTATTGTGCTAACGATTGAGCGGTAAATCTAATCAAAAATGAATTTAAATAAAAATAAATGACATTATTATGAGAGGATTGGCAGCAAAAGAAACACTAAAATCTGTACAATTCATGTCGACTACAAAAATCATGGCTCGAAAACTACTAGACTTCCGCCTCTTTTATGGTTTTACGTTTAAACTCATTGTCGAAGATCTTCAGCAAAGACTTCTTAATTCGCAGTGCCGTCAGTCGGGCCGACGGGTTCTGAGCCCACGATTCGCGTATGATTTTTGTCAAACTCTCCAAAATCTGTACACAAAAAAACACATTAAGAAACTAATGAACAACAAAACAACTATTGTTTATATCAATTACGGTATTTGATTGCCATCTGTCAGGTATGGGAGGTCTCTGTTGATCAATGCACACAATTTTGCGCATATCTTCAAAGCTCGGGTCGTTTGGCACGGATTCGCTGAATGGTATGCTATAGTCGTTGACAACGCCGTCAAACTCTGTCCGATTAACCACTTCCCAGAAGACCAACGCTAAAGCGTATCTGAATCGACAAATGCAAAAACCATATCAATAAAAACACCGGTAAAACGCCAACCAATAGCAACACTTACATATCGGCCAATCGGTACGATTCAAACACATCGCTCTTCATTGTCATGTCAAGCACTTCGGGAGCCATATATCGTTTGGTGCCGACCCTATGGTTCCGAATGCCGAACTTCACTTCACCCGTGGCCTCAGTCTGAATGACGGCCAAACCAAAGTCGGCGATACAACACGTATGCGGTGTTTTCATCAGTATATTCTTGGTCTTCATGTCCCGGTGAGCGATGGCCGGCTTACCCAAGCGGCCAAAGATCTCGGTGTGCAGATGCAATAGACCCGACACTATCGACAACAGTATTGTCCGCATTTGGCCGGCGCTCAGCGGCTGCCCATTCATGTAGTCGAACACAATTTTGCGCATATCTTCAAAGCTCGGGTCGTTTGGCACGGATTCGCTGAATGGTATGCTATAGTCGTTGACAACGCCGTCAAACTCTGTCCGATTAACCACTTCCCAGAAGACCAACGCTAAAGCGTATCTGAATCGACAAATGCAAAAACCATATCAATAAAAACACCACAAAAGGCCAACCAATAGCAACACTTACATATCGGCCAATCGGTACGACTCAAACACATCGCTCTTCATTGTCATGTCGAGCACTTCGGGAGCCATATATCGTTTAGTGCCGACCCTATGGTTCCGAATGCCAAACTTCACTTCACCCGTGGCCTCAGTCTGAATGACGGCCAAACCAAAGTCGGCGATACAACACGTATGCGGTGTTTTCATCAGTATATTCTTGGTCTTCATGTCTCTGTGAGCGATGGCCGGCTTACCCAAGCGGCCAAAGATCTCGGTGTGCAGATGCAATAGACCCGACACTATCGACAACAGTATTGTCCGCATTTGGCCGGCGCTCAGCGGCTGCCCATTCATGTAGTCGTACAGCGAACCCAATTCGTGGTAATTAGTGATTAGCCATAACTGTGTCGACGAGTTATAGGACGTGATGTCGGAGCCCAGGAATCCCAGTATATTCTCGTGCCTCAGGATTATTGTGCTGTAGATCTCTGTCTCGCGATTCCAAGAGGCCTCGTCTCGGCTGAAGAATATCTTGACGGCCACCGACTCGGA